AAATATGTTTGGCCAAAACAATGTCATTTCAACTTGATACATGTGGTAGAAAGAAAGGAAGTAGTCTTATATACAATCAGACAGCAGATTCAGTCAAACACAGAGGCCAAATCTGCTGAAGCTTAAGTTTATTCTCCTGACCAGTAGAATCATTTGAAGAGTGACCTTGTTGATTTTAAAACAAACTGCCTACATCTGAATACATTTTCTCAAAGACAAAAAAGTACAAAGTAAAAACCTCGTTGAAAGAATTTTCTTCCTTGATCAACTTTAACAAATAAGACCAATGCATTATGGTCTGGCTGTTTACTCCCCGCCTAAACTATCGTGTCGACCTTGCACATGATCTGTGTCCTCACCTCTCGATTCTTTCTTTACTTAGCGCAAAAATGAAGTTCAGCAAAGACTGATTTTATTGGTTGTGGAGAAATGTGGCCTTTATACTTATTTTCTTCCACACAAACACATTCTGCATAATTCTTTGAAAAAAGTAATTACATCATTTTTTTTTATTGCCAAAAAACCCCCCAATTGTTCCAAATAAAATGTTTTTTTTAAAACCTCTTTACAAATTCAAGGTTTGAGTCCCCTTTGTTTAAGTGACTCAAAATTTCCATTTTGTTACTTTAATGTAATATCGTTTGGGTGGACATTTATTTCATACTTCAAGCAAAATATATTTTCCCTTTTATTCATTGTCACAACACACACTTGTCACAACTTAATATGTGAGATTTTTTTTGAACCACTTGCTTGTGTTTCCAAAGGATGCTGCAAATTTCCAGCACATACCCAAACCAAGATCAATGTTCAGCTTTTTAACATCTGCTTCCTCTGCACAGCACCACCAAAACCATTTTCCACTCATAAATCAAACCTGCTTCTCACTGCTTTACTATACCATATATTTTTCACCCACTATTTATAAGCCCGAATACATGAAACCTACAAATATTACGGATGAAATCCATCTAACTATTGATTTTATGATAGAAAAAAATGCATTTCTGTGAAAAACTGGAAGATTTCTAGTTCAAAGTCACACCTGTTGATGCCATTTTCAAGTTAGAAATTATATATCATGAGAAAATGGTGAATAATACAACTTGAGCTGAAAAAGCTGTGGCACTCTAAAGGTGGAAGGAAAAACTGAATGCTCAGATTATATGGTTTAGATCATCTAAAAGATTTTCTAACTACAGTATGAGTGCAAGAAGCAAATTAGTCTACTTTTTTTGTGGGTGTTTTTTACGGCTTGTGTTCTGTACACTAAGCTGTGTTTGTGTATGGGTTTGATTTATAAAGACCAGCAACATGGGAACTTTCAAAAGAAACGTGTTGAGGATGGGACGTAGCTAAAATTACTGCAAATTAACTGGAAGGCACACCAGATAAACCAGCTATAATCTTAAAACCAAATTTTAAAGTTGCTGTACAGTAGGGACAACCTCTTCCACAGCCACTTCTGGAATTCACCCTTCTCTTTCATCATAAAGAGAATTACACATCTACCCAACATGCAGCATGTTGTGACAGTTAGGCTGATAAAAACAAGTGGATCCTCGGTTTCTTTATACTAATCTTTTCATGATTTTTTTATGCACTACTGATGCATTTTATCCACTCTTTCAAGTCCAAAATAATATTCGATTAGCATAATAGGTACTGTTCACTAATTTCTAAAAGCAAAATGATGAATGCTTTAGATGAGGATAATACTAAGCAGATTGGGAAAGCAACAAACACGTGGGAGATGGGTAATCACACTGAGAGAGAACAGGGAGTAGTGCCTGGCAATCAAACGATAACAGTGGTCTCATTCATCACATGGGAATTATGCAGCTCTCAGGTACAGACCCCCACCCCAAAGAAATTCTAAACCAAATAGGCAGCATTACAACTCCTAAACAATCCATCCCCCCCATGTGCACATGCTGCAAAGAAAAAAGGCATGAGTCTGAGTTATAAATTCAACAAATGTTATTTCTAACTTGCACCGCACCCTACGGAAATAGAAGCTCATTTCTGTTTGGAATAAAAGGCCATCTGCCTGTTTTTTGACTTTCTCTTTTCCTGTCCAAATAATGTTGACATCCTGTGCTAATAGCATTGATAACAGACATTACTCAAGGCCTTTATCAGCTGGGTTTTTCCTGTTTGTGTTCCAACATGTCACCACAATGAAAATCTAGCTTCAGTGCGTTGCAGTGTAGTGAAGCCTAGGTGTTAACTGCAGACCAGCAAATTTCAGCTCCTCATCTCTGGAGGGAACCAACACCACTTGCAATATGGGTTAAACTCTCCGTGAAATAATTTCTTTGGCTGAACAGTTGAAGTTAATAAAGAAAAAGTGGAAAACCTTTCATGACAAGTGTCACAGAAATAAAAACTGAGGTAGTAAATGCGTGTCTTTGTTAGCTCGCAGGCACTTGTGTGTGGAAAACTTTCTGTTGGTTTTAAAGATGTGCCCTGCTTACAGTATGCATACCAGAAGGTGAAACGTGTTGAAAGACACTAAATATTTTGGCAGGTCTCAACAAAAGTGATAGTCCTGTAAAGCACTGACCGACCAGGTAAAATGACAGCTTGCACTGTTGCAATTCAAATATTTTTACTAGAGGGGGATTTGGAGTCCAAGAAATGTTGTATATGTATCATGCATCAGGCCATTATTTTTGCAAAAATACAAAAGAAATGCAAAAAAAAGCGACAGTTAATAGAGTTTGACAACAGCTATTTAAAGCATTTCACTTTAGTCAAATTATAACCACATACCCGAGTTTGTACAGGTACAATACTTCAGCACAAAGTGGCAAATTATTATGAAACAGAAGAAAAAAATAAGGTTTTTTGTTTTTTTTTACATTGTTCACCTGCAACAATGTAAAAGTTGGGGCATGCATTTATTATTTGTTCTCTATACTCTGAAACCCTTAGATAAAACAGTGCCACACTAAATACCTTTAGAGGTCAGTATTTTACTAAACAGGGTCCATTTGTGTGTTATGTCATTTCATTATAAAGTTTTAAGTCCAGCAAAAGTTCGTTATAAAACATTATCATCATCATCATCATCATGGAGATGAAGGAACACAGCAGACAGCTGTAGGAGAATATTAAGCTGAGGTGTTCTATCAGAGTTAAGTTCCCAAGCTTTGAGGATCCCACAGAGCATTGTTCAATGCACTAGATGAAAAGAATAAAGAGTGTGGAATGACGACAAAATAACAGGAAAAAGGAAGAAGAGCATTAAAGCAAAAAGTTGCCAAAAGGCCCTTGGTAACACTAGAAGACCTCCAAGGATCTGCAGCTCAAGTGGAGAAATCAGTTAAAAAGACCACTAGTCACAAATCAGATATTTATGGAAGTGTGGCCAAAAGAAGTCTTTTTTTTATAACTGAATATAAATGCACATCAGACTTTTTAGACATGCAAAACGGGCCGATCCAAAACATTTAATTCAAATTAAACTGTCACTGTAACATGACTGCTTTAGCTGTATGAACGCTTTTCATAGACACCAAAAACAGACCTTATGATATAATTTCCTTAAAGCCACATTTCACATATGGCCAGATTAGTCTTTCACATCTCATAAAGGAAACATTTTTGCCCCACCCTTTTTTACAGCAGCAGCTGAATGAGGTTTGTGGCCGATCGTTTGAGCATTGGCTTGAGCCTAAATTTAATTGGGCCAGCAGAGCACCTTGATCTTTTTTTAGCCATTATGTTTAGCTTCTGGGAATTTGGGGGGATTGTAGTTTTGCATTTATAAGCTTTAGCAAACCTACAGCTTTCTCTGCACATATTGGTTGACTTCTCATTAAGCAGATCCAGCCTTAATCACCAACTCTCTGTGGCTGTGCATATCAGCTTGGACTGTGCTAATTGTAAGTGACAAAGTATATTTTTGACAAATGCCACCTATTTTATGGCCAATTTGGTCTCAAAGCTTGGAAGCATAGCAACCTTCTTCAATTTAATAGTAACACCTTAAAATAATCCTCAGTGTTGTAAAAATCTTTTGTAATGGTCTCATAACCTTTTTTGATTGAACTTCAGGAAATAATTTTCTAATAACAATAATGATGTTTTATTTCAAAACGCTTTAATAGGAGCTGAACTCTGAGTTCAGACATGTTTAAAAACATACAACAGGTTGTTCTTCCTTTTAATTAAAAAGGTATTGCAACTATTTCCATCAAAAAAGCTTTAAAATTCAAAAACATATTAAATCTTTTAAATCTTATTTCATTAGATGATGTTGGGTTAGTTTTGCAGCTAATATTTTACGCACATTCTCAGGACATGGGGTAAAAAAAAAAAAAAAGATTTATCATGTTAAGTCTTTATTTCATAACTTTTTAAAAATAGTCCGTCTCACTTTTCTTGTGTGTGGCTTATCTTACTTTTCTGCAATAAGGGGGAGATCCAACCTTTTACGGTAACAAATGAACCTAAGTATATAAATCCATCAGTGAAGAAAAATAGCTTATGAAAAAAATTGTATTATCAGTTTTGTAACATATATAAAGTTAGAGAAAGTAATATTAGATGGTCATGAGCTTCTTGCTCACTGTGATTTCTAAACAAATAAATTGAGGAAACCAAAGCTGGTCTAATTATTTATTGTATGAGTATATTAAACATACTAAAGAAAAACATTTTGAATATTTGTAGCTATTTATTTGCAGTACAAACCTAAAAGCAAGTTTTTCTCTGTATAAATAAAAAAATGGTTTCTTCTAAATTTAGTATTTTAATGAGGGAAACAGATCAATACTATCTCTAATAGTTACTATAAACTCATTAGAGGTTTTCGCCTTGATCACTGCTAACTTTACATAGATTTTTTTTTTACAGTTTTTATTTAAAACAGACGTGCCTTATGTCTGATTATTTTGGCACTGTAATCTGCTTTCTTTTATAAAGAGGACCAATCATCGTAAGCTGTCATTGAACCACTGTTATTTAATATTTTCAGAGGACTAAGGATTTACCTGTTGCGTCTTCCTCCTCATCCAGTGAGCCGTAGTTGTCGAGGGTTTGAGGTTGTCTTTGAGGCTCCTCTCTCATCCTGACTGGAGCTCTGCTGGTGGGACTAAACAGGACTGTGGGGTAGGAACCATGTTCTTGTTTGCTAAGCTTGTGCTGCATTGATGCTGTCTCTTGTTCAGTGCGGCTGGCATAATAGGTTTCACTAAGATGCCTGGTGTGGCCTCGCTGCCTGTGTTTCTGATGACCTGTATCTCTGTGCATATTATGTCTCAGGGGCCTTTTATCGGTTCCCTGCTTTAAATTCTGGTTGTCTGTAAATTCTGCGACTGTGTCTGTGCTTGCTGTTGATGGTGAGTAACTGCTTTCAGCTCCAGTCGTGGTTGAATCCAAGCCTTGGGTCTGGTCATTCTCTCTGGTCCTTTCTGTGCTTCGAGGTTTCTCAGTTTCCTTCAGCTCATTTGCTTTGCCGTCGTGAGATGTGAAGATTGAGGAGCTGGACTCGGGGTAAGTTAAAGGAACTGTAGAAGCATCCTGTGACTGAGCCAGATTTTGAAAAGTGGAAGTTGTTGGTTCTGGCAGCATGTCGTCATAATCTGAGCCAAAACTGGGTGGGTCCTCCTTATAAAGTGGGAGAGAGTTTGCCATTGCAAACTTGGAAAACGGTTCAAGAAGGCTTGTCAGTCGAGGGTCACGTCCTCTGTTAATGTCTCTCACAGGGCTGTTATTTTCAGTGGTTGTTGCCCATGTGGGGTTATTAACAGTGCGGAGGTCACAGCCAGGGATCAGGGAGCACACTGACCTGCCCCCTTCATTTGGACAATGGCAAACCTGGCATTGGTCTAACTGAAAGGAGTGCCCTGCCTCGTACTTCTTGGCGCCATGGACACAGCCAACACGCCCACATTGTTTACATCCATCTTCAGGTTGTAAAACTTCAATACAATTCGGGGGTATGTCGGGGCAAAACATATAAAGGCAGGTTATGTTGCCTCCTCCCTGGGGACAAGAGCATTTAGTGCTTCCAGAATCCACAAAGTAGGATTCTCCCTCTGGCACTTTACCATGCTTGAAGCCTTGTAGCCCACAATCGTAGAACGAGTACCCCTCACACGTGCAACCCTTTTGTATACATTTTGGGCAACAGGCGCCATTCTCTAAAACTGATTCGATGCAATTCTGCAGGACAGGGCAGGTTACACCTGTGCAGTCTCTCTGGCTCAGAGTGATGTCCAAAGACATTATTAAAAAAAGTAAACAGAATCTTATTTGCATTTTGCTGAAAAACCACAAAAAAGGTTTTCAAACGTCTCTTCAAGCCAGAATTTCTCTTGGATGAGAAGATGTTTTCGTCGTTAAGCCTGTAAAAAATAAACAGCAATGAAGGATGTACAGACATAATTTGTTACACAGCTTGATAATAATCAGTGTCGTGTTCCAGGATTTGTGTTTAGCTAGTGTTAAAACATGTTTTGATTCATTAAAATAACCTGCCTGCTTTGATCTGATCAGCAGCCAAATGCATACTTTTCCATCCCTTCTGTTTTGATCCCCTAGGGAAGGAAGGATGTGCTTTATATTTAACTGCACATGGAAATTTGGCTGCCAGTATATTCTACCCAAGGAAAAAGTAATGACCTGACACAGTGTTAGTTGTAAATGACGAAACTTCATATTTTAATCTGTTTTTAATAAAACTACAGTGTTCACTATTTTCAGATAACAGACAACTTATCTTTTAATAATTTGTGTTGAAATTTCTTAAATTAAGTGCATTTACCCTTAATTACAGTAGGTAAATAAGATGATTTGCCAATGGACTGAGTGTTTTTACTCTTAAAATAACATTATTAGATAATATGCACTTGAAACAAGACAATGCAATTCTATCCATCCATCCATCCATTATCTGACACGCTTGTCCCAATTGGGGTTGCGAGGGGTGCTGGTTCCTATCTCCAGCTGTCAATGGGCGAGAGGTGGGGTACACCCTGGACAGGTCGCCAGTCCATCGCAGGAAAATGCAATTATTCTTATTTATTTTAAAAGTAAAATTGTCTTGTTCCATCGGCAAAGTGTCTCATTTACCTCCTCAATAAAAAAAAAGCACTTGCTTTAAGAAAAAATGAGTAATTTAGATTTCTATTTTCTGCAATAAGAGGTCCTCCAACAACTCATCCAGAAGGTTTTCAGACTTGATCAGAGGACTGGATGATGGTTATTTTAGTTTGGCAAACAGTTTCTGCGTTAATTATCCAGTATATTTGAGATCATTATCTCCTCCTGATATTATCTTCCTATGAGACCCATTAATGGCTCTTTTTCAGTTTTCCTGCAGAGGTCAGCAGGATGTTTTGAAAATGCCCTTAAAAGAGATCCTGAACTCTAAGCGTTGGGACTTTTAGAAAGCACGGGTCCACAGTAGAGGGGATAAAGTACTTTTCCACACATTTACTTTTCCACACATTTTCACTTTTGTTTAATTGATAACCGACTAGGAGAGTTAGTTGCCAAAATCACATAAGTCCAAAATGACCAATGCACATTGTTTTTTGTTTTTACTGAAAAATATCTTTAAATTGCCTTTTTATTTGATGCTTCATGACTAAAACATCATTTGATGATCAGACTGACATCTCAGTAGTTCAGAGCTGATGCATCTATAAGCCTATAGCCTGTATTGCTGAATTTACTTTGGGTCGGAAGTTCCCACGCTGTTCGCGGATATGATGTCAAGAGCATCATTGTTAAATAGATCCAATCTAGAAAACAATGAAGCATTTTATTCAAGAAGGATTTGGTGGATACTTAGAAGCAACCGGTATCCAGCTCAACTCAGAGATCAATGAAAACTCCATGTAAGGTCAAAAAAGTAAAAAAAGATGTGGAAGAAACTTGTCAAGCACAAGCGCGAGCTACGAGAATGAGCAGAAGAGAGCTGCAGTTCTGTGTTTTGGCATAACTGGCAGTATCATTAGAAACTCCATAATGCCTTTTTACATTTTTTTCTCAATGTCAGTTGATGTTACTGCACTATAAAAAAAATAGTTTGTTTGAGTTTCTAACGCTTCATCAGGTGCACCAATAAATAAAACCTTGTAACAGTTCTAATATTTCAGTAGCTACAAAAGCTATACATGCAGTGGATCAGCTTTTCGCACAAGAAGAACACAAGAGAGACAACCTGATCTGTTGAGAGCCTTAGACTTCATCCTGTTTGTTAGATATACCATCATTAAAGAAAGACCTTAAAGACTGTTGTTCTGTTAATTTGCAGTGCCATGAGAAATACAGCCAATGCAAATAAAACTGAATTTCAAGTACTTTGTTAAACCCAATGAACATGCAATAAATTAATTTTAAACGTAACTTGCTAGAAGGTCGATATGTGCCTGTTGTCTGCAAGTCATCAATTATGTTACTCTGTTCTTAGAAACTGTGCAGTTCTTATATCATCTTAAAATGGACTGCAGCATTCGGTTAAGGAATCAATGATGCCTTTGTGCAGAGGGTAAAAAATAATTTCACCAGATCCTCTTAGCAGGAATGACCTCAGCTTTAAAAACAAAGTCCAAGCACAGCCACTGTACCTGCAATATTCTGACTGACAGAGAACATGCCAACGCAAAAGGGGAAAAAAATTATATTTCTGTGTTCAACTCGAATAAAGGTGCTAAAAATCCCCAAATATATGTTTGAGTCATTGATTCACAACAACTTTAACATTATATGACCTTTATCCTGTGACATGCACGCCCATAAATAAGCGCTAAAACTGCTTAAACTCAATCCATAAGATAAATTCTCAAATATGTGATATCTTGCGAAAAGACTATCTTTTTCTCTCCTTTAGCTTTTATAAAACACGCCAAATAATTTTAGTATCCAAACTTAGGAGGTGGTATTAATGTCTGAAAGCCAGATTACATCTAGTACAGATTTCAACCCCAGGCTGCAGTCCTTTAATCCAAGAATGAACAGAACGCACCGTAAGAAGTAAGCAAGTCTACCCACATTGTTATGTGGAAATCAAATGGTATGATGATCAGAGTTATTATATGCGCTGCTTACCTTGCCTTTCTGGTCCTTCTGGGCTGCTGTGTCTCTAAAGGGAACCTGTGCGTAAAGTTTATGACTCGAATCTGACTCCGGAGGCTGGGAGCGCCTCTCCTCCGGGGGGCGGGGCTAAGAGAAACAGTTCTAACTTTTTCACGTCTTTCTTTCTGTCTTTTTTTTCAGTCATTTATCCAAGATGACAGAAGACTACATGGAAAATGTAAAAATCAGTAAATTTTTTTCAGTCGCCCTAATCCTCTTCTGTAGAATAGCCTACAAGAAAAATGAGCATTATTTATCTGGGGTCTAATGTAAAAATATGTTCCATAAATAGCCAATGATAAATATCTGTGTCGTTCTTTAGAGAAAATGGTTAGATCGTCTAGTAAACTATAAACTATATAATTTTTCTGTACAGCCAGCAGAGATTACCTTAAAAAAAAAAAAAAAAAAAAAAAAAAAAAAATATATATATATATATATATATATATATATATATACACTATATTGCCAAAAGTATTTGCTCACCTGCCTTGACTCACATATGAGCTTAAGTGACATCCCGTTCCTAATCCATAGGGTTCAATATGACGTCGGTCCACCCTTTGCAGCTAGAACAGCTTCAACTCTTCTGGGAAGGCTGTCCACAAGGTTTAGGAGTGTGTTTATGGGAATTTTTGACCATTCTTCCAGAAGCGCATTTGTGAGGTTGCACACTGATGTTGGACGAGAAGGCCTGGCTCTCAGTCTCCGCTCTAATTCATCCCAAAGGTGTTCTATCGGGTTGAGGTCAGGACTCTGTGCAGGCCAGTCAAGTTCATCCACACCAGACTCTGTCATCCATGTCTTTATGGACCTTGCTTTGTGCACTGGTGCACAGTCATGTTGGAAGAGGAAGGGGCCAGCTCCAAACTGTTCCCACAAAGTTGGGAGCATGGAATTGTCCAAAATGTCTTGGTATGCTGAAGCATTCAGAGTTCGTTTCACTGGAACTAAGGGGCCAAGCCCAGCTCCTGAAAAACAACCCCACACCATAATCCCCCCTCCACCAAACTTTACACTTGGCACAATGCAGTCAGACAAGTACCGTTCTCCTGGCAACCGCCAAACCCAGACCCGTCCATCAGATTGCCAGATGGAGAAGCGCGATTCGTCACTCCAGAGAACGCGTCTCCACTGCTCTAGAGTCCAGTGGCGGCGTGCTTTACACCACCGCATCCGACGCTTTGCATTGCACTTGGTGATGTATGGCTTGGATGCAGCTGCTCGACCATGGAAACCCATTCCATGAAGCTCTCTGCGCACTGTTCTTGAGCTAATCTGAAGGCCACATGAAGTTTGGAGGTCTGTAGTGATTGACTCTGCAGAAAGTTGGCGACCTCTTCGCACTATGCGCGTCAGCATCCGCTGACCCCGCTCCGTCAGTTTACGTGGCCTACCACTTCGTGGCTGAGTTGCTGTCGTTCCCAAACACTTCCATTTTCTTATAATACAGCTGACAGTTGACTGTGGAATATTTAGGAGCGAGGAAATTTCACGACTGGATTTGTTGCACAGGTGGCATCCTATCACAGTTCCACGCTGGAATTCACTGAGCTCCTGAGAGCGACCCATTCTTTCACAAATGTTTGTAAAAACAGTCTGCATGCCTAGGTGCTTGAATTTATACACCTGTGGCCATGGAAGTGATTGGAACACCTGATTCCAATAATTTGGATGGGTGAGCAAATACTTTTGGCAATATAGTGTATATATATATATATATATATATATATATATATATATATATATATATATATATATAGCCTATATAGCAGGGGTCACCAACAAGTGGTCCTCAAGTACCACATGGGGTGCCCTCAGCATCTTCTAAAAATATATCAACTGACCAGTGGGCTGATTTTAAAACTTTATTTTATTGTGTTACTCTTCTTTTTTCATCACTTATAGAGCATTTCACCATGTAAATCATATAGATCATATAGAGCATTTAAGCATTTATAGAGATTTACCAATGCTTTCTGGCTGATGTTTTGGTCGATTTTGAGTGTTGGTGGTGCTGTGACACTCATTGTAGCATGAAAGGGACTCTACAACACACACACGTGGTTCATTTAGTGCAGCTGATCCAAGACGACACATCGATGGGGGCTGTGGCAAGAAAGTTTGCTGTCTTTCCCCGTAGTTTGGCAGTGGGTCAGTAATGATGTGGGCTGGCATAGGGATGCACAGCCCTCTATGTGCTCGACAGAAGTAGCATGAATGCCATTAGGGACCGAGACATGAGATCCTTAGACCCTTTGTGAGACCATATGCTGTTGTGGTTTGCCCTGGGTTCCTGCTAATGCTGGACAATGCTAGACCTCATGTGGCTGGAGTGTTTCAGCAGTTCCTGCAAAATGAAGGTGTTGAAGCTATGGACTGGCCCGCCCATTCCTCAGACCTCAATCCGATTTAGCACATCTGGGAGAGCTCGATCCATTCACCATTGTCACTTTGCAACATCGACTGTCCAGGAGTTAGTGGATGCTTTAGTTCAGGTCGGGAGACCTTCGACCACTTCTTCAGGAGCACGCCCGGGCGTTGTAGGGAGGAATGAGGATATTTAATTCATTCAAATTTAGGATGTGGTATTTGAGTGTTTATTTTTATTTATTGTTTTAAACAGTGCATATATACATACCTTCACAAATTCAACTAGCTTTTTTTATTTCGTTTTTCCCAGATGTAAATACACAGTTGTGTGTTATTAGCATAAATGAGAAAGTACTGTATACAACCTTGAGGGATCCTCATGCCCAGCCTTATGGAGCCGAATGATGTTTTTCTGTTTGTTTCCAACACTGGCTAATTATGATAACAGTATGAATAGCAAAGAGGGAGCCAAGAACCTTAAGGGAACCCATCACTCAGCTAGATGAGAGCTAGAGAGGCAGACTGACTGTGAGACTACAATCTGCTCAGAATCCAGAGAGGTGGCAATAATCCTTGTGAAAAACGCCACTAGCACAAGTTTTTTTTATGATAATTACCATGGTATAATAATTTACAAAAAATTGCAATGATAAAATGTTTTCAGAGCAGGTGTTCATTTCCTATAAAAGCTGCTAGTTCAGTTTAGAATCCCATTTTTATGCAATAAAGCCTTATTGATGAAGGAAGCCTGTTGTCTGTGATCTTTGAAGCAGTAAATTAAGTTAGATTCACTCAGAAATGGCAACAAGAGCTTTCCTAAACATACTAATAAACTGAGTCTTGTTAGTACTGATGGGGTTTACATCCAACTTGATCTTAAGGGTCATTGAGCCACTTTTGAGAATATGTAATGACAAAGGCTTCCCTGGATGAATAGAATGATCAGAGAAGAGAGGCTCAAAGGGCAACATTTGGGGCCAGCGACCTCTTTGTCTCAGGGTTTTCCATTGGATGATCAATGATGGAGCTGAGTCATTGCCCCCTTTAGTGGCTCGCTTCATTTGTTTAACAGAAATGTCAGCACAGCAGCTCAAGGAGTTTATCCCTTATTCAGTGGAGTTTTCCTTTGGCTTTATGCTGCAGTTTGTCCAATGATGTTCTCTAACATTTACAGAACAGCTGAATTAAATTACACTCTGGTGGAATCTATTAAGTAATAATTGACTTTCTTAAGCAAAATTTATTTGACAATATTAGACTAAAAGAGTTTAGGGCAGATGTGCCACATATGTTAAAAATTTATGACAAAAAAAATTATTATAATTTTATGTCCAATTCGTAACTCTGAGCTACTATTTGTACTGGTCTATCAAATTAAAACTGTTAAAAATATACTAGAGATAGATTGAAAATCTTTGTGATACAGCAAAATGTAAGAAAGATTAATTAACTTTATGTTATTCATTCATACATAGAAAATTTCTTGGGTTATTTATCTTCCTGGGGTAAAATTTAAAAGTGTTCAGACTGTGTTGAGAACATTGATTATGTAACACATTTTACAGGATCACCTGCCATTATTAGTCAATTGAAATACCCTGGAATGTTCTGGCAATGATCTCCTCAGAAATTAATTGCCATGTGCCATTTCAACAACAGCCTGCTTCTAATCTAAATTCCACTCTGTCATCAGTAAGTACATTAAAATAATAAATCAGGACCCAGAACATGTGAGGTCGTCTACGTGGTTGCAGCCAGGGACTGAATGGTGTGTCGCTCCCCCCACACACAACAACTGACCCTTATGACTCCTCTGGGACTAAAAAAAGCACAGCGCTGTAAGGGCTCTCAGTGTGTGAGATAATATCATCTGACACACAGTGATGTGGCAGAGCTAATTGCACCTCACACTGTTGTAATTTCTCATTCATGCACGTTTGAATAGTGCTTTGTACCAATTATAATGGCTTAAGCCCACTGACTTTCTCCTCTATCTTCTAATTACACTTAATTTGTGTTTTCCGTGAATTAAAAAACGTAATACATGGCATTTATTACTTTTTGCTGCAGCAGAGTGAAGCCTATCTGTCTTAGCTTCTCAGACGATGTTATATCCTAATGTTCTGTTGGAGGTTTTCATTAAAATGTTTTCCACCGAGTTGGAGTGTGATGTGGTTTTCTTAATCAGCGAGGGCTGCACAATGCCAAGACTAATTCTTAATCTCATCATAAAAACAAGATTTGTAACAGAATTTCTGCAACAAGCACTTACAAGCACAATGAGCCAGAAAACCTTTTTTTTTTTTTAATCAGCCATCTAAAGGAACAAACCTCACATGTGACTGGTGTCAGTAATGTTAACCTTCTAAATTATTTTTTTTCCATTTATCACATTGCTGTGTGTCCTTATAATATGAGGTGAAAAGAGGGATGAAGTCTTCAACATAAACCAACCAGGGCAGAATCCTGAGGCACCACAGGAGGCTGCACTAAGTTAAATTAAGAACCAAATGTAAAGCTGTGAAAGCGACTCACGACCTGCATCTTGTAAAAAGCTTTTTAGGGGTTTGGTGAATGTTATAGTTTGCTATTTTCCACCTGTACACAGCAGCTTTTTGCAGGACTAAAATGTACAGAAATCAGCTCCATTATTAAGATTAATATTCAACAAAGAAATGGAAGATGTG